ACTAGCTGTGTAATCTTGGACAGATCCCTTAACGTCTCTGAGCCTCTATTTCCTAATCAGAAAAAGAGAAAATACTACTACCTATCTCATAGAACTGTTGTGAGGTTTAAAAGATACAGTAATTGTGGTAGGCAGAAATGTAAGCTGGCCCCGAGATTCCTGCTCCCTTGTGTACACGGCTCTATAATCCCCTTGGGTGTGGGCAGGATCTGGGAACAAGGTGGGATAATAGTTACTCATGTGATTAGGTTATGATATATGGCAAAGGTGATCAGACACTCACTCCTGGGATTAGTTACTTTATGTAAGACTCTGTCATAGCAGACTGGAGGGAGATTCTTCCACTGGCTTTGAAGAAATAAGCTGCCATATTGTGTGAAGGCCATGTGGCTTGGATCTGAGGGTGGCCTCTCGGAGCCGAGAGTCACGCTGGTCCAACAACCAGCAAGCCGACAGGACTTTAATCTTACAGCTGCAAGAAACTGAATTCTGCCAACAACGAATAAGCTTGGCAGAGAACCCTGAGTCTTAGATGAGATCATAGTCCTGTCGACACCTTGATTCCAGCCTAGTGAGACCCTGAGCAGAGAAGCCCATTGTGCAGTACCTAGACTTCTAACCCGCAGAAACTGGGAGACAACAAATGGCTGTTGTTTGAAGCTGCTAGGTTTGTGGTTATTTGTTAAGCAGCAATTGAAAACTAATATAATGATCTTAGTTTGAACCGTATCAAAGTGCTATTTGAATAGGTCGGAACAGCCAATTACAGGCAATCGCATATGTCAGCCTAATACAGATGAAAAATGCCTAACACATGGGAAGCACTCAATGAATGCCACTGTTATCATTCCCCTGACTCCTCTAAACTGAGTACTTTGTGTATTCAATAGTTAAATGGACCTCTTTTTCCTAGCACTGGCTTTGACAGCTGCCACACTGCCCCAAGGTCCTTCCCTCCCCTGCCTGTCAGAAGAAAGCACTCGGAGCAGATTCACACTCTCCTGAGAGGCCCAGGGCACAGCTCCTGAGCTGGGCTGCCTCTCGGGGCCCCAGGGCAACAAAACGCCAACCTGAACAGACAACAGAAAACAATAACTCTGGGGCAGAGGCAGCAGCTGCCCACCAGCCCCATACCTGCTGGCAGGGAGAGGGCAGCTGTTTGAGAGATTCCAGCAGGGCTAAGCGACCAGGTTGCCTCTGAACTCTCCCCTCCCTGCCTTCCCTTTGTCTCAGGAGCCCACCATGTGGAACTGTGCATTGCTTCTCCAGCAGGACCCTGCCCAAGTGCAAAGGTTTCCTGTTACATAAAAAATGCAAATCATTTTTCTTAACCAGCATGCTGGTCCAGATTCCTGCATCAGATAACAGATGCATAGAGACCTGAAAAACAGTGGGGCCTTTGTGGATGGGACACCTGACAGGTAAGTTTTGATTGGATCTGCAGGGTGCTAAACAAAGTTAGGAAAGTTCTGGAACAGATTATCAAAGGAAGAAAGAGCTTTTGGCTCAAGGGAGAATGGTCTAAGAATCTCTAGATCGATCGGATCTCCAGGACCCACACAAATCCTGGGACTCAACTATAGAGACAGATCTTTATTTACTTCCAGGTGTCAAATAACACACATAAATCACTATTCATGGATTAATCGGTTTAATCCTCGAAATCGGTAAGGATTATTATGTTTCCTTTACAGAAGAGGAAACTGAGGGGCAGACAGGTTAAATAGCTTACCCAAGGTCATAGGAACAGAGCTGGAATTTGAACCCAGGTAGACAGATGCCAGAGCTCACATTCTTAACCATTGTTGCAAACAACCAAAAGCTTTCTCATCTTCCACCCTTAGTTTACCAAAGTTGGTAAAAATAATTGCTTGGGAGTGGACTATAGATTAGCTCACGACATACTTGACCTGAAGCAGGGACTTGAACATGTCCGTCCCACAGTGTCATCTGCCTTCAGCAGAGACGTGGCTGGGCCCCCGTGGTGGCCCTGTGCTCCAGCTCAGACGTGACCTTGCATCAGGCAGCTTTGCTCAGCTAGGAGTGCACTAGGATAGGCACGGCAGGTGCTTGGGTCCTGCCCTAAGCACAGGGCTGAAAGGTCCTGGGGATACAGGGGGTGGTAGGAGCCTCTGTAAGGAGCAAAGGGAAAGGGAACTTGGAAACTAGGGAGCCAGAGACGGCAACTCATGATCTTCCCTGAAACAGTGGCTCCCTCCACTCCAGCTGCCCATCCTGAAACCCCCTTGAGTTCTCACCCCACCAGTCCCTCTGCTTGTCCTGCTGTTCCCTGCCCACCAGCAGGTTTCACCTCGATGCTCAAGGCAAGGGCATCCATAGCCTCCTCTCCTGGGACCCAGTCAGCCTTGCCCACAGGGTCCAGGGGAGAGGGACTTGACTCTCTTTAACTGGTCACTATGGAGTGAAGAATAGGCTGGAGAAAGCCATTCTGTGCATCTCTCTCTCTTCCCTCATCCTCTCCTCCTTTTTTTCCCCCTTCTCTTCTCTCTCACTCTCTGTTCTAGAATTTGGATAGTTGGATCCAATGGAGGCAAAGAGATGGATCTACAATTTCAAGTCCACCCAAATTGTTTTCTCATTCCCTCTGTTCCAAGTGACTCCTTCCTTTTCATCCCTCCCCACCAAAACCCACTTCCCCACCCTCTGGCTTTCTGGAGAGGAGGAGCAGGTCAGACCCTCCTCAGGCTGCTGGATTGTGTCCCCTTAGAGTGGATGGATGTGGGTCAACACCAGAACACATCCCTCAGGAACCCAGATGCATTCTCAGGCATCTCTTATGCAAGAGGTTTCAGTCCTTTGGACATCTCCTCTTCTAGGAAGGACCAAGTGCTATTATCTTAGGGTAATCGTTGTAGCTACTTATCGAGCATCTACTGTGTGCCAAACAAGTGCAAAGTAGTGGGCTCAGTGCTTCATGTTCCTCTATTCCTGCAAGTTGATTCCTCCATCAGTATTTGTTGAATGCCTGCTATATGCCAGGCACTGTTCTAAGCACATCAGCTACCTTGGTGAACAAGGTTTCTCCATGAGTACATGTGGCTCATTGTTTGTTTGTACCTGATAAATGGGGTAAACTGAGGCTTAAAGTTTACCCCATGTGTTGAAGCAGGGATTGCATCTGATTCCAAAGCCACAAGACCTTCTGCCCTCCATCTCCTTTCCTCTCCACTGGAATAGGGGACTTGTGGGTACAAGTCAGGGTGGAAATCTCTGACCTCAAATGCTTACACGGTTGCTTTGAGGGAGGAGGGATGAAGTCTACACACCTGAGAAGCCTTAAGAGAGTTAGTCCTCAGTATGTGAGGGATGCCATGGCCCAGGCTGAGTACTCAGGGCCCAGGGGTCACAGAAGACAGAGATTTGAGCAGGGTGGTTCCTGGGTGAGAGGATGCCTGAAAGTGTGGAGCATGGGGCCAGGCCTTTCACAATGGGGGCACGTGAACTGGCAAAGACAAAGGAGGAATGAAACCTGGACAGGGAATGGGCTGTTCAGAGGCTCGGAGGTGGGAAAGATCCCGAGAAGACTCTGAAGATGACAGGCATGATTGAAGGCTGGCAGGGGGCGTCAGGTGCAGGGTGTGTGTGCAGGAGAAGGGAGGGCGGGCTCTGGCAGCTGCTGATGGCTGAGGAGGTGAGATTGGAGCTAATGGGCCATCAGGAATCTCCCAGCAGAGTAATGGCAAGATACAAATGGCATTGGAGATTATCCTGACAGCACTGTGTGTGGGACCATGGGGGAGACAGTTGGAAGCTATCACAGAAGCCCCTGGAGTGCCTGGCTTGGTTGGGGTGGGGGGACGAGGGAGCAGCTATGTTCAGACTCAGCAGCCCTCACTCCCACTCATCCCCAAGTGTTCCGGAGAAAGTCCCCCTGACTCCCTCCCTCTTTCATGCCCTAGCCCAGCCCCTCTGGCTCTAGCTACAGCTCCCCCAAACCACAACTTTGTAATATAGGGCTGGGGGCCATGAGGGTAGATAAAGGCTCTGACCAAGGAGGGATCTGGAAGAGGATGGGGTGGGTGATTTGGAGGAAGCGCACAGCCAAGACTCCAGAAATGCTGTTGGTTATCTGGGGTAGGGGGAAAGACATTTCTGGGGGAACTTCAAGGTGGGCTTGCAGTCCCAGCAGTAACCCCAGGCCAGACACAGAGTGACTGCACTAGGACAAAAATCCCCTCTTCTTCACCCATACACTCTTACTGCCTGGGGAAGCAGAACCTGGGGGAGACCCCCAAGCCCTGTGTGACATGATTGGGGATTTGGGGGTGGTAGCCCACAAAATATTCCTCCTCCTTCACTCGACTCTAAGATTTCACAGTGTTCTATTCCTTTGGCTTAAGATTTTGGATCCAAGTTATTGTCGTCTAATGATGCCACTTTAAGTTGTGATCAGTTATCCACATCTCAGTATGAATGAGTCAATCTGATCCTTTTGCAAGAGTCGATATTGTTGTTGTCGAGGTGAAGGAAGACTTCAGAATCCTGGGGTCTAGGGCGGTGGGTGGGTGGAGGAAGAGGGGGGGACTGGGATGCCGGGGCAAAGAAGGAGGACGGAGAGAAGAAAGCAGGGCACAGAAGACAGAGCCTGGACATGCCTGGGAGGGATGGGGGCAAACCGCTCACTTCTCTATTTGGGGAAGGGTAGATCAGAGATATTCTGAGTGGAGACCCTGGTATAGCCTTTCACCTCCTCCCTCTCCCCACTCAGATGCCCGGATCCCTGTTCCTGTGTCTTCATATCTCCTCGCAGCAACAGCCTGGAGTGCAAACTTTCCGGGATATGACCCCAGCCTGCCTTCCCATGCCGCCGTCGCCACCCGAAGCTGGGCAGGGGCTCCTGGCCAACCGTCAGGGGCGCATCCTGGAAGCCAGGACACTCTGGGAAGGGGGCGCACGGAGGTAGAGGGTCGAAGCGGCAGGGACTCGGGGCTCCGGGGTCCAGGAGCAGGGCAGGGGGACCCGGCCAGTGGGAGGCTCACCTGCAGGACACGGTGATCTCCACCTTGGTGGCCGGGATGCTGCCCGCCAAGCAGTCGAACTCGCTCAGCGACGCCATGTCCTCGGGCTGTTCCATCGCCCACCGCACCCCCACCCCAAATTAGTCAGTCCCTGCGCGATTCACGCCTCCTCCGGAGCGACTGGAGCCCTGGGCTCTCCCCCAACTACGGAGCCGGCAAGGGGAGGAGAGAGGAGCGTGAAGAGGGGGCGTGGGAAGTGAGAGAGGGAGGGTGGAGGGGGAGCGGGGGCCGCGGGCGGAGGAGGGGGCGCGGGGGGCGCCGC